CGATGCCTTTTTTTGATAAATTAAATACAGCAGGAAATTATACATTATCACTTTTACCAAAATCAATTTTATACGAAGCACAAACAATTCCAGGTGTCACTCGTTACAATATGAGTATCAATCATCAATTATTTGATCGTAATCAATATAATCTTTTATTACATCGCTTATTGTATTTTGCTAAACATCGATTAACAACTGTTAAAATTGTTGAATATATTTTAAAAACCATCAAATATCCAATAAAATCTTCAAAAAAGCATTCTGTTCTTTATATATCTCATGAGGAATGTGATTATATGAAAGAGTTTATGTTACATGGTTTTACGCGTATATTTGAAGAAAATCTGTATGTTTTTAAGCCACCAAAATATATGTATGAATATCCAACATCAAATATGTGGAATCAAGCAGAAACGAAAAATTATTTCAAACAGCCTTTAGCTGGATTTGGTTATGGTTATAAATTGTCTCTTAAAAATTATGTTCGACTATATGAACGAGATAAAAAAAATCTCCACGATGAAACTATCATAGAAAAAAATATTAAAGCTAAAAATTATTCTCTTATCGTTTTTGGATCGATAATTCGTAATAACAAATTCTTTTCATTAACTATAAAACATTATGAACGATCCAGAATCGTTCTCATTGATGGTGAAGATGATTTAAAACACAAAGATCGATCTGAATATGCAAAATGGGGGACCTACTTTCGTCGAGAAATACCAGACAATTGTGATACATTTATGTAACACACAAATGACGGATATTCAACAAAAAATATTTTTTTATTGTTACTTATTTTTTCTCTGAAAAATTATTTCGTAATTAATGCTACTATTACAGTGATGTCGCACACAATATTCTCTATCTTCTTGTTATCCTCTATCCTCTTTCATCTTCTTTTGATCTCTAGTAATATCTTCTTTTCTTTCGTTCTTTATATACATATTATGCATCCTTTCGTTTGTTTTTGTTCTTTACATAATAAAGTTCATGCACGAGCATCAGCACATATAACATCTGACATATATTAGGTAAACAACAGAAAAGGAAAGAACGAAATGCTAACATTTGGCGACCCTGCAAAACAACATCAGTACAAACAAACAAGAATTAGATTATTATTCGTTTAAATTATTTTGCAACTTATATTAATCAAAGCCTCTTTACAAAGAGACTTGACATCATTTAATATAGGGCCTTTAAAAAAATTCAAAAAAAGACTCGAGTTATTTCTTTAACATTAAATTATTTATTTTGGCTTATACATATAAAAAGATTATTTCCATTAATCGCGATTCTGAGGAGTATTGTGTTCGTATATTTACTTATTGCATTTCATTGATTCATCACTAATTCATTTATCGTGATATTAATTATTATAATTACAATACATTCATAACGGATATCGGAACAAGATTTCAAGTTAAGAAAAACAATAAGAAACTATTACCATATACAATTTCTACTAATTCATGAACTCTAATATTACCATAAATTAATCCATCTATAAATACAACCTTACATTTAAATACAAATATAATGACTGATCCAACATTATTAGCAGAAGCTTGAAAAGCTCGATTCGATGATTTACCAAATTTCTCTAGACATCCTTCTGAGGATGTCGAACGATTTTTAAAAAGTATTAAAAATATTACAAAAGCCAATGATGAATCAGAAAATCAAGAAATTCTTGAAATCGCACGTGGTAAATTAATTTCATCAGCAGAATTATGGTTTGATAATAATAAACATAATTTCAAAAAATGGGCAGATTTCGAAATTGTTATTTCTGTACAACAATGATTCATAAAAAATTTAGTAAATTAAAACAACATATTCAACTACATGACGAACTAGTAACATCTTATATTGATGATGTTATAAATCTATGTCGTGAAATTGATCCAAATATATCCGACTCAATTATTATTCAACATTTAATGAATAGAGTTAATCTTGATTTCAAAAAAGAAATTTCTCGACATAATTCCTGTATGAACGTATCAAATGAGTTTTTAAAATGTGCTAAAATCGAACAAGACTTATATGATACTTTTGAAAAATCTAATCAACCGTCAACAAGCTAATATTACAATTAATGATCAGCAAGTTCCTTCATTTACAGCTATGATTAATCAGCCGAAGCAATATTCTCATTATAAAAAAGAAATGATTCTTCACATCCTTTATCAAGGCAGAGCTCTGTTCTTCAACAGAACTCGATTCTTCCACATAAATCTCGATCAAAATTTATACCTAATCAACCAATGCAAATTAATTTACCACAAAAAACATTTAAAAATAAACATGTTAATCAATTTGCATCATAACAACAATTCAATAATTGCAAAATTTGTGATTGGAAAAATTATCGAGCAATCAATTGTTTCCATAAACGTACCAATGGATGTTTTAATTGCGGCCAAAACCACAGTGTCCGTGATTGTGCGATGCCTCCAAATTTTCAATAACTGGACCACGTGATGGCGGTGTTTCCAGTCAATTTATTAAACCATCAACATTAACATCTTTTTCCGTTTACATCAAGATTCGTGTTAATGATCAACCAACTGAAGCAATTGTTGATACAGGATCTGCTATCTCAATTATTCATTCAAATTTTCTTAAAATCATTTGTCACAATAATTTTATACATCAAACTCAACACTTTTAAATATTATCGGTCAAATTAAATTAGAAATAGGCATGACCAAACGTTACGGAATTCCATTTTTTTACATTGTGATATCTATATCTCCTCAGTAGTAAAAGCTAACTCTTTAAAATTTTTATCATAGACAGAGACTATAAAGTTCTACTATCCATAAAAATTTCATGGACTTTTTCCTTAATCAGAACTAAGTTATTCCAAAAATAGTGACCGTTATGGAATTTCAGAAAATGAAATCTTTTTTGAGGGTGATGTGAGAGTTGAGCATTTTACTACGAATCGAAGTGAAATATAAATAACCGTTTTTACGTACAATTTGTTCATCTCTCTACAAGCTGTCATAATATCACGTTGTTTACTAACACCCACACCTACACCCCCACCCGCATCTTTCTCTCTAGTCTGAAATTATTGCTCGTGGCAATTTGAAAGATGACCGTAGGCTTCGAATTTAGTGATAGAGTAGAGTTTCAACGTATGAGAGACATTGCTCATTTTGTACGATATAAAGTGCGATTTCTGACAAGGAAAAACAGTAACTTATTGGCTAATTTCGCTTCTTTGAAAGTATAGTTGTATTTGAACGACTGATCATAATCCCGTTGGTTGACAAGATCAATGAGACTATAGCCCATTTTCAGATAGGTCAATCGGAGTTGACTCTCTGTCACATATCTCCATTGATTATGAGGCACAGTGTCACTATCATTATAACCGACGTCTGCCCAAGTATGCTTACCGAATTGTTCATGAGTGCTGATTGATAATAGTCTTAAATGACGGATGTGGCCGAACTGTATCCATGTGCTTCCAATGTTGTACACAACATTATACTGTTGAAAAAGACTGTGCAAAGACTTCATGATTAACGCATTGTTTTCTCGGTTCTCGTCCTCCATCATCGTCATTTTCAATGTCAAATGCTGCCGAAGAGACGCGAGCAAATTTTTATTCCAATCATGTGGATGGAGTTTTGCCCATGGAGAGCGAGGGTACGACACGATCATTCCAGGAATGAACTGAATCATACCACCAGTCATTATCCATGCATATAAGGTGTCGCAGACACTGATGTTCTTTTTTCCTGTTTCTCTAGTCAAAGTTTTATAAAAGTTACGCAAAGAAGCTGTAAAATTTTTCGTTTCAGCATAAACTCTTCGGATATGAATAGGAACACGATGGTAGAGATCCGTGCGAGTCTTTATCATAAAACGATAGGAATCTAAGTGAATAATTCGCATAGCTCGTGCTAACAACCAGAATTCGACATTTCCAACGGGTTTTTCAAATTCTGTCGTCAAAATGGCAATAATCCGTCTACCGAACCCTTTCAACACAGCGTCTGGAATGTCCACACTTTTACCATCGATTGATAGTATGATATCGCAAGGCTCATTCGGCTGAATGAGACTGATGAGTAGCGATTTCCATGTAACGGCGAATGTACGAACTTGACCAGTAATGACCAGAAGCGTACGATCAACCACTTTAGAGCTGGCGTTTGAATCGACGACAAAGTGTTCAATGGCCTGGTACTTTCTTTCAACGACAGAAAATGCTTCTTTTAAACCCATCCCAGAGAGGTAAAGCCCAGCGGTGATGCAACTCAGACCAGTCAACAGTGCGAAAAGTTTTCCATATAAATGTCGTAATTCCATATCAATAAACTAACGAGGGAACCTTCGCAGATGTTACCCTCCGATTTTAATGAATTTTTGTGTAGAAACACTATATAGTGTCCTAGTAAAAACTCTAAAAGGATTTGGGTTCCTAGGGCTTTCTTTAAAAGTTATGAATACTTTAATTTTATCCCTATAAGGTATAACATAAAATATTTAAGAGATGGTTCGTGAGATGACCGAAGGACGTCCCAGTATATGAGGCAGTGGGTAAAATTTTGTTTTTGATTTTTTTCGTTCATTCAATACGTCAATGTCTAAAACTATCAACTCCAAAATTTTAGCTTCTAATATCCTTTATTCAGAAAGTTCGTTAATACTGACTTTTAGCACTATCGTACATCTTCTGAAACACGATCTGAAAGGAGTGTTGAAGTGTTTAGGGGTAAAAATTTAGACTCACCTCCTCCCCTCCTTTCCTCCCCACAGACCGTGACAGACACTCACGTGACGCATCACAGACCGTGACAG